TGTTTTGGGGTGGCTAGATCTAATGCACATTAGCACAGATTTTTAGGGTGCCTTTACATGAGCACAGAGGTTGCTTCGATGCGCTGTAATTAAAATGTTTCAGAGCAGACTTGATTCATTCATCGAGTTTCCTGGAGTGTGATAATTACCATGCTCCAGCAGCTTCTCACTTCTTGTGTATCAGCAGCTTCCCATTTCTTGTGTAGCACTTTAAAATAGCAGCAGGGGCACTTGAACTAAAGCTCAAATGAGCTTTAGTTCAAGTGCCCCCACTACCATTTTGAAGCATGGGAACACTGATCCAAAAGATGCTGCAACACTTTAATTAGAGCGGCTCTCAGAGCTGCTCTAATTAAAGCGGTGCCCCACTCACCCCTGGAGCATGTGTAAAAGTACCCTTTAGAGCACATAGTTTAAAGTCACAATCTTCTCCTGTTTAACATCTTTTAGTAGGAGATCTCTAGATAATGGCCCAATAGAAAGAGAACCAGAGACTTTTAAAATGTAAGTTACAATGTACTTGCTCTTTCAAACTGACTCAAAACCATCCAATTGTGTGTGTAGCCAACATACCCAAATGCATGTTGATATGACTGTTTTCCTTGCCTGTATTGTTACATTCATCAGTTGAATTTGGTTTCAAATTGAATTGTAAACTCATCAGGGCATGACCTGCCTCTGATTACATTTGTACTGCACTAGCATAATACAAGTCTTCGTCTTCTTCAGCAATCCCTCACAGTCGAGGATGATTGTCTTCCATGAGTGTATTATCTATGGGTCCAAACATGGCGGAGGAGGTCGATCCAGGATTGACAGACTTTACAGCAACTCAGACACATGTTTCTATGAGCAGGGCCAAATTAACGCATAAGCAAACTAGGTATGCCGAGGGCCCCAAGCTGCAGGGGACCTCGGTCCTTCCCTCCATGTTGGCAGTGTGAATGGCCCCATCTCCCTCTCTTCCTTTCCCCCCACCCCACTCTGGCCTTGCCACTGCGAGGGATGCTTCCTAGTGGTAGCTTCGACTCCCCGTGGGCGGGAGCACCAGGGTGCGGAGGGGGGTCTCAACCAGCCCAAGGCCCACAAGTTTGTTTGCCTAGGGCCCACTAAAGTGTTAATCCAGCCATGTCTATGAGAGAAGGGTGGCTCTGAATTCTTGATTCACAACACATTGTTTCTGCCACTCCCGCTTTTCTGTCTCATTGTTGTAAGGTTTCAAAGTATCAAAGTATCAAGATCCTTGTACCAGACTCTTCTTCCATTTGAGGCAGTTCTGGGCAATAGTCTCTCATAAGTTGATGTCAAGTTGGCGTTTTTTTCAAGTTGGCCTTGAGGACGTCCTTGAAGTGCTTTCTCTACCCTCCTCTTGAGCATATGCCTTGACTGAGCTGAGAGAATAAAACTTGCTTCAGGAGTCTGGAGTCAGACATCTGGATGACATAGTCAGCCCAGCGAAGTTGATACCAGATGATCATTTCCTTCATGTACGTGGTGTTTGCTTGCAAGAGAATGCTAATGTTGGTGCACCTATCTTCCCACTGAATTCAAAGGATCTTCTGTTGGTACTTCTCTAATGACTTAATGTCCTGTATGTTGTCTTCACCTCAGCTCCATAAGTAAGGTGGGGATTGAAACTACTTGATAAACTATGAGCTTGGTTTTGGATTGGATGTCATGATTTTCAAACACACATTTCCTCAGGTGTCCGAAGGCTGCACTTGCACATTGGAGGCGATGCTGGATTTCTTCGTCGATGTCAGTCTTCTGCAAAAGATGGCTTCTGAGGTATGGGAAATACTCAACATTCTCCAGAGTCTCATCATTAATCTGAATTACTGAAGCTGAATGGGGACTGCTCATTAAGAGCTTGTTGATGAAAACCTTAGTTGATGATGACCTTAGTTTTCAGAATGTTAAGCATCAGTCCCATTTTCTTGTATGCCTCAGTAAAGATGTTGATAATTGCCTGAAGGTCTGCTTCTGAGTGAGTACAGACTACCACATCATCAGCATACTGGAGCTCGATGATTGAGGTCAGTGTGGTCTTGGTTTTGGCTTGGAGCCAGCTGAGGTTAAACAGCTTACCATCCATTCAGTAGTTTAGCTCCACTCTGACCGGGAGCTTGTTGGTGGTCAGATGTAGCATCATGGTAAGGAATATCAAAAAGAAGGTTGGAGCAATAACACAGCCTTATTTATCTCCCATCTTAACCTCAAAGGGATCTATGATAGATCCATTACTGAGAACCACTGCTCACATACCATCATACAGTAGACAAAGACTGGTGATGAATTTCAGTGGACATCTGTACTTCAGAAGGTTTGTCAATTGAGAAGTGCCGTGGAGAGTCAAGGGTTTATGTGAGGTCAAAGGAGGTAATATGAGTAATAAATAATCAATTGCATGTGTTGTCTTATGTCAAGGGAGCCAAGGTTTGGTTAATGCCTTTCTCAATATGATCTAAAAATAGAGTGGAAATGAATACATAAATAGTCACACATAAATAATTAGTTTCAATACACAATGAAGAATCTAATACCTTATGCAGTGGGTGATCTGTTGTGCATGTAGTAGTACAAAGTAGGGATCCTTTCTATAACTATAGAGATAATAGTAATAGTAGCTCAGATTATTTTTCCTAACAACCTTGTGAAGAAATTTCAAATGCCATCCACTGCTACTTCTAATTTAACATTCTTTACACCAAGTAAGCACAAGGTTTGTGTTTTTCCAATTATTTTCAAGATCTTCACTCTAAACAACATCATGTAGTCCTTAGCTAGGGAGGCTATACCCACTTCCAGCAAATTCACATTTTTCTTTTAAACGTTCTTGTTGCCTGCTCACAGTTTATATACATGCTAGCAGGAATTCAAATGTAATCTGAAGCTTCCAGGTCCAGTTAGATGAACAAATACTTCACTCTTCCCTAGTTCTCACTCAGAAGTTCTAATTGGCCATAAAAGAGCCTGCCTTACAATAATTTTTATTTAAAAATTGCCAACTACCAGTATGAAGTGGGAATAAAGGGATCTAGTAGATAGACTCCCTCCTATAGACCAGAATATAAACTCACTAAAAATTCAGACAGAGATGGACCCAAGCCACACTCTCCCATTTTGAACAATCTGGGGAATTTGTAGTATGATGCCAAACATTATGGGTCAAGCTAGCTGCTCCTGATTTCTCCTTCAATTCCCCTCTGATCTGAAGGTGTATGGGACTCTTCACTGTTCTGTTTTTTGGGGGGGGTTTTGTTGGACTTACCACATCTAGAAATAGTTTTCATAGAGAAACTGAGGGCTTGTATACACAGAGAGGTTATTACACAGCAAAGTAGGGTGTGAATTTACAATGCACTAGCTATTCCATGCACAATTCCTTTGCAGACACTGAGAGCTTCTCTTAGATCATACTAAAAGTGGAGTAAAGCGAACCTTAATGAGTACTAACAGTGCCCTCATAATAAGTTAGTACTTCCCTATAGGAAGTTAGGCCACATCTACACGAGATGGTGACTGTACAGTCATTACTGCACAGTCATTTAGTAGTTGTTTATATAAGTTAACCCGAGTTACTACGCAGCAGCATCACTGAATGGCTTTAAGGTATGCTGACTATACAATAGCTCATTATTAATGCATAGTAGCGTCACGTCACATTTCCTCCCATGGGATGCTACTGTGTAGTCAACATCTCATGTAGACTCAGCCAGCAGCTAGCATGCTGTGAATTCACACCCTAGCTTAATGTGAACTAGCTTCCCCTGTGTAGAAAAGTCCTTTGATTGCTGTTCCTTAGCTCTCCCTACTGTTTTGAGTCCTTATAAGTATTACAACAGAACAGTGTTTCTCAACCCATGGTATGTGTATCCCTGGGGTATGCAAGATATGGGCAGGGGGTACACAGGTGCTACATTTTGGTCTTTGCCTGCTCAGGCCGGAAGTTCTGGCCACTGCCCCTCCTGCCGTGTCCAGCGTGCCAGGGCTTTCACTCCCCAGCGTCACTGTGCCAGGATCCAGGGAGAGAGGCCCTGCACAGGCTGCTTTGCCCTGGGCCACGGTGGAAAGCCAAGGCTGCAACTGAACTCCAGCTAGCTTTGAGCATCAAGGACAATAAAAAGTCCTTTTTCAGATATGTGGGGAGCCGGAGGAAAAGCAGGGGCAACATTGGACCCCTGCTAAACCAGATGG